TTGGGGGAATGGATCAATGAAGTGACTGCCCTTTCCTGTTAGTGAACAGCGGACTCCAGCTGCCTGCAGACCCTGGCCCCGTGCCTCTCGGTGCCAGGATGACACTAGGCAGTGGAGGACACCAGGGGCACAGGCACGGCCCCTGCCCTTCAGGAGGTCACGGCCTAATGCACCGTCAGGAAGCATAGGCTAAGAATCCAGTCAGGGTACAAATGCTGAAGCAGAAGTTAGAAAATGCTCATCTAACCACCTCTTGTTTTGGGGGCAAAAGGTAGTAACAGAGATTGAACCCAGGGGTGCTTAACCACTGAGCCACATCCCCAGCCCTCTTTTGTATTTTATTTTCAGACAGGGTCTCACTAAGCTGCTTAGCGACTTGCTAAGTTGCTGAGGCTGAATTTAATCCTCCAGCCTCAGCCTTCTGAGCCACTGGGATTATAGGCGAGCATCACATGCCCGGCTCTAATGAATAATACTAACTTATGAAAGAAATATAATGCTACATTACCAATCATCCATTTTACATCCTGAGATTCTGTGTAATTTTAAAGACCAGGGAAGCTAAAGAGATAAAGTCATCACTTCAAGACCAACAGAACTATCCTCAGGACTTGAGACTCCTAGATGAATGACTTTTCCATTGTACGACTCTGAGGGGCTCCCCGCTGACCCGTCAGTCATACCTAACCCTGAGAAGTATCTCTGGTTCAACAGTGTATAGCACACAGGCTGAGCCTGGCCCAGAGCCTCCAAGGCTTGTCCTCGATGGAACTTTTCAGACAAGATGTCACAGGTAGGTTCAACCACAGGAGAAGGGCTCCAACACATCTGGCAATTATAAAATGCCAGGAAGCCACCACCACCAAAGTGTAGGACCAACCTGGAAGAAAGAACAAACCACATGCACATGAGCTTCCACTGTTTCAGGTCACACTACGCTGCCACTCTGACGAACCTGGGGAAAGCCAGGCCTTGAAGAGAAAATGGACGGCTCTGTCAGAGTCACAGACATCACACAGCTAAATGGAGTTGTTAGAACAAAACGTACACGTGGGTTTATTTTTTCTGAGTATCTTCTGTTCACAGAAGAAAACCTGGAAAACAGAACAGCTCAAAGTTCAGGGGGTCTGACGACCTAGAACACAAAAAGGGGGCTCACCAATAAGGAACACAGAGAAATGGCTGCAGTGAGGCTCTACCTCCAGCCCCAGGCTAGATTTACCAAAAAGACCCAATCCCCTGAGCTGTCGGGGACAGAGCACCAAGTTATAAATGCTGATAAAGAAATGATGGCAACCTCAAGGACAGCTAATCAGAGCAGAACTGCCTCCACATCTGAAGGGGAAGATCCCTGAGCCCATGCCTTGGATGGAGTGAGTGTCCCTGGGGAGAGCTGGGACCAGGAGAACCCACTCTCAGTGCCCAGGAAACCACTCCAAGAAAAGATACATACCCAGCAAAAATCACCCAGCAACGGTCTCAATGGGGGAGATGGGGAGGAGGTGAAGAAGTTAGCAATGGAATTCTGTAACAGGTGCCATGGGACATCAG